AACTGAAGGACTTGGAAATACCAAAGATGGGTTGCACCCAATTCACCAAAGGTTCTCTGGTTTTCATGCTTCTCAATGTGGATTTTGCACTCCAGGAATGTGCATTTCACTCTTTGCAGCTCTTGTAAATGCTGATAAGACCAACCGGCCACAGCCTTTCCCAGGGTTCTCCAAACTGACAGTGTCGGAAGCTGAAAATGCAATTACTGGAAATCTTTGCCGTTGTACTGGTTATCGACCAATTGTTGATGTCTGTAAAAGTTTTGCTTCAGATGTTGATATCGAGGATTTGGGGTTTAACTCCTTCTGGAAAAAAGGAGAAACAAAGGAAATAAAGCTAAGCAGGTTACCTTTATATAAAAATAATGATCAGACTTGCACATTCCCAGAATTTCTCAAGAGGGAAACAAGGTCCACTGTGATTCTAGACCACGGAAGATTTTGTTGGCACACTCCTGTTAGCGTCAAGAATCTCCAAAGCATATTGGAATCCAGTAAGGCTGATAATGGCACCTCAATGAAGTTAGTTGTGGGTAATACAGGTATGGGGTATTTTAAGGAACTAGGAGATTATGATAAATACATAGATATAAGATATATTCCTGAGCTATCAAGGATTAAGAGAGATAAGACGGGGATTGAAATTGGAGCAGCTGTGACAATTTCTAAAGTTATTGAAGCTTTGAAGGAAGGGAATGGAGGTGAGCATCCCACTCAAGGTGCCGTTGTGTTCAAAAAAATTGCAGATCACATGGAGAAGGTTGCTACAAGGTTCATAAGGAATTCAGCCAGCATAGGAGGAAATTTAGTAATGGCACAGAGGAAGCAGTTTCCTTCAGATATTACTACGATACTGCTTGTTGTGGGTACAGTGGTAGAAATAATGAACGGTCTGAGGTGTGAAAAGCTTAGGTTGGAAGAGTTTCTTGAAAGGCCTCCACTGGATTCCAACAGTGTTCTTTTGAGCGTTAAAATTCCACAGTGTTCTCCAAGTATAGATATTTCTTCTAGATTCAATGGCAAGTTGCTCTTTGAAACATATCGTGCTGCATCAAGACCCTCTGGAAATGCATTGGCTTATCTAAATGCTGCTTTCATGGTGGAGGTTTCTCCCTGTAGAAGTTCTGATAAACTTATGATAAACCACTGTAAATTGGCTTTTGGTGCTTGCGGGAAAAGGCAAGTAATCAGGGCATGGAAATCTGAAGAATTTTTGACTGGGAAATTGTTGACTAATGAAGTTCTATATGAAGTTGTCAAATTGTTACGAGGCACCATTGCACCTGATGATGATATTACAGATCCTGGTTACCGGTTAAGTTTGGCTGTTGGTTTTCTTTTCAAGTTCTTTAGTTCCTTGACTGAGACTGCTGACATTTCTAATGGATGGTTTGGTTGGGGCAAGAATTCTTTGATGCCCAAGGATTCTAATGGAAAACAGACTTATGGACAGTTTGATGATGGGAAACATTTAACATTTCTAATGTCAGGTCATCAGGTTTTGAAGTCAAGTAAAGAATATGATCCAGTTGGGCAGCCAATCACAAAGTTGGAAGCTTCCATCCAAGCCTCTGGTTCGTGAGATGTCACTTTGACCTATTACTTATGAAACATTTTGTATGTCTGGGAAAAAGAAGGCGAAGAAGGAAATACTTCTGGAAGAAAAGATTCCCTAATAAGAAGTATTTATCTTCCACTTTCTTCTGCTACTGGGGATGGACAAGGAAATAATTAGCTGATTTGGAACATGAACTGTTGTACAAGAAGCCTAAAATCATGGAGGGGTTTGAAGTTCAAATGACATTTGCTAACATGCTAAATATTTTATATTTCTTTCATCCTAATTTATGACTGAACTTCATATATTGACAACATCATCTCTCTGTGTGAGTGTGTCTCTCTCTCTCATTTATGAATTCCATGAACAAATAGCAGACAGTGAACTGTCATTTAGTTGATGTTGGTTAAATTTTGTAGAGTACATAACCGTGAAATTTCTTTTGTTGGCTTTCTATTATTTCTATTAATTAAATGTTGCAAGTTTATGTAAATCCAACTGCATACCTTATTTATCTAGCCAAATATACAGGAGAGGCTGTTTATGTGGACGACATTCCTTCTCCAGTAAATTGCCTGTATGGAGCATTCATTTACAGTACAAAGCCCTTAGCACGCATAAAAGATATCACATTCAGGACAAAATCATTACCAGATGGAGTCTTTGCACTTATTTCTTCCAAAGACATCCCAGAGGGCGGGGCGAATATAGGTGCTGGAGCCTTTTCTTATACAGAACCTTTATTTGCAGATGGACTTGCTGAGTGTTTTGGTCACCGAGTTGCCCTTGTGGTAATTTCCATGACTTTGTATTCTTGTTTAGCAACACATTTTCATGATGACTGTAATGGTGTCAGAACTGTTTTGATCATGGAATTACTCTTTTCAGGTTGCAGATACACAGAAACATGCAAATGAGGCTGCAGAACATGCAGTAATTGATTATCATACAGAAAATCTGGAACTACCTATATTATCTGTTGAGGAGGCTGTTATGAAGTCTAGCTTTTTTGAGGTCCTTCCTTTCTTTCAACCGAGACAGGTTGGTGATTTATCGAAAGGAATGGCTGAAGCTGACCACAAAATTATTTCTGCCGAGGTAGTTCAGCATTCAATCTGTCTCTTTAGCTCTAGATTTCAGGTCTTCTTTTCTAGGGTCTCTTCTCTTTAAACCTCAGCCTTCTTTCAGCTCTCTTCTGGGTAGTCTCTTGGTCCGGTAACAACTATTTATAAACAGTAACAATTAGATAATTCAAAGAGATATTCGATCAATCAGTTTTTCAATATATTTACTATATAGCTCTTGTTTTACTGCTTGTTCAAGACTTTATTGGTTTTACATTCATATCATTTCTTGATCATCTATATCCCTTTTTTTTCGTACGAACTTGTTTTCATGTTTTGCAAGTTCGTCCTCATGTTTGGCTGGTTTATCTTTTCCAGATCAGACTTGGTTCACAATATTATTTCTATATGGAAACACAAACTGCCCTTGCTGTACCAGATGAAGATAACTGTATAGTGGTTTGTAGTTCAACTCAATCTCCTCAATTTGTACAGACGACAATTGCTAGATGTCTTGGTGTTCCTGAACATAATGTTCGGGTGATTACAAGGAGAGTGGGAGGAGGGTTTGGTGGAAAGGCCTTGAAGTCCATACCTGTGAGTATCATTCTGCGTGTATTTGTACATTTCTAAAATAAATAGCTGACTTTTCTGTTTGCCCTGGTAACCCCTCCAGTTATGAGAATAGATGCCACCGACTTCTTGGCTCCTGGTGAAATAAGTCGAGTTAGTTTGCCATAAATTTGACTTATAAAATTAAAACCTCATCAATGGATATTTATTTTTCTACAGATTTACGGAAGTTATAGGTTCTTCCTTAAGTTGTATGTAACTAAGAACTTGTATTTGGCCGCGTAGTCGAATGCAGTGGCACTGCATTCCTTGTTAATACTTCTGGTCCTAGTCCAGTCCGAGAAGTTGGAAGCCCTATGTAAGGCCTCTGAAAAAACAAAAGGCCAACAAGGGCTTGTCTTCATTTAGATTAGATAGGTACACACACTTGGTTTTGTCTTCGACCAAACCTACTAGTTATTCTTTTTTCAGTAGAAAGAAATATTATTAAGGACCAGAAAAGAAAAATTACAATGATGGATTATAAGATACCCTCCTAGAGCCTTCTAAAAGAACTCCAAACCAAACCTACTAGTTGCTGCGTAAGGTATTTGAGAAAATATCAATAGCTTTCCTCTTTGTTTGTTTGTTTAATGGAAGAAGTAGAGGGAAGATTTCTTTGATTTAATGATCTTTAGAATACATAATACTTTTGAACATACTACTACCTAGACTTCACCTGCTGGTCTCACTTCAGATATAGTCTCATTATTGAGTGCTTACCAACCTTGTTATTGTGGTTTGAATTGTGGACTACATTTTCTGTTTCTACCTGTTTTTCTATTTATCTATTTCGTGGTGCTACATCAGTGCAAGTTGTCCTACACTGGACAGCCATTGCCACATCACAGTTCAGATCCACCAGTCTAGACTTCATGTTGAATCCCAGCCTCTAGCCTCTGTTCTCACCAGCCTCCACAAGGTCTCTCAGTTCCCTCTTTTACTTAGCTCCATGAGGTACAATGTGATTAATGAAGCCAACGATCACATATAAAGGTTCAAGTCGATCAGTTTTAGCAGCTTTTCCTTAAACATTTGGGGTATAATTTGAGTCTAAAATTTTGCTGAGCCAATGGTGGTTGACCCTGTATTCGAATATAAAAATTTTGTAGTCTAAAATTATGGTCCTTTCCCAGTCTTGCCTATTATACTTCTCCTAGTTCCCTATTATCTTGTCCTTTATAGACTACTGAAGGCAAGTTTTCCTCCAATACACATATTTTACACGTGATATCTTGTAACCATATAAAATGCATAAATGATTTTCTTTTATTTTTTCATTAGTTTGAAACCTTTTAGTCATTTTTCAACTATTTCATTAAGTTTAGTTCAAATTGTAATTTATGAAATAGAAATGAAAATAACATACAAATTTAAATAAAAAATTGTATTATAATTCCAAGATGAACTCAAAATAGGTGGCTTTATGATTTTTTGCTTAATAGATGGGAATACAAAATTCATAGTTGTGAACTGAAGATATGAATGAAGTTAATTTAATTATGTATCAAATATGTAAATTATGACTAACTTTTACATGTTAAGTAATTAAAATATAGGATTTAAATGAGAATAGAATAGGATAGAACAAATTGTAGCTTTTCTATCATTTTTATAATCTACCTGGTGAAACTATTATAACTCAGAACATGATTTCAGGTAGCTGTAGCATGTGCAGTGGCTGCACACAAATTACGGCGTCCAGTCAGGATATATGTCAATCGTAAAACTGATATGATAATGGCAGGAGGAAGACATCCCATGAAAATAACTTACAGTGTGGGATTCAGATCTGATGGAAAAATTACGGCTTTAAAACTTGATATATTAATCGATGCAGGGATGGCTGCCATTATAAGTCCAATTCTTATGCCACATAACATTATAAATGCACTTAAAAAATATAACTGGGGTGCTCTATCTTTTGACATAAAGGTGTGCAAAACAAACCTTCCAGGCAGATCAACAATGCGAGCTCCTGGGGAGCTACAGGGATCATATATTGCTGAAGCTGTTATTGAACATGTTGCATCTACCCTTTCCATTGAGGTAGATTCTGTTAGAAAAATTAATCTCCACACATTCGACAGCCTTAAAATATTTTATGAGGGTAGTGCTGGCGAATTCCAGGAGTATACTTTACCTTGCATATGGGATAAATTGGCCATGTCTTCAAGCTTCAGCGAAAGGACTGAAATGATCAAAGAGTTCAATAGGTGCAATATATGGCAAAAAAGAGGTATTTCTCGAGTACCCATTGTGCATGAAGTCAAAAAGTTTAACAAACCAGGCAAGGTAAGCATTCTAAGTGATGGGTCAGTTGTTGTTGAGGTGGGAGGCATTGAAATTGGCCAAGGACTCTGGACCAAAGTAAAACAAATGGCTGCCTATGGACTCAGTTTGATCCAATGTGATGCAATAGAAAACCACCTGTTAGACAAAGTACGGGTTGTACAAGCAGATACATTAAGCATGATTCAAGGGGGTATTACTGGTGGAAGCACAGCATCTGAGTCATGCTGTGAAGCCATTAGACTTTGTTGCAATATCTTGGTTGAGAGGCTTCTCCCTCTCAAGGAAAAATTGCTAAAGGAAGTCGGTGCTGTAAATTGGGACACCTTGATCAGACAGGTATTTCATTTAAACTTCTGAACTCTCTAGCATACTTCATTAATTTCTTAACTGAGGGACTGGAAGCCCTTAAGTTCCCATCGTCTGATGCATTACCCTTACTTCATACTTAGTAGATGTACCAATGAACTTGTATTAGTTTGGTCACAAATCTTGCTATTGTCTGTTTAATTATGGATTATTGTTACAATATAATTAGCAGGCTATTGTAATAAAGCTTCCATATTATGTTTTTGCCACTTTGTTAGTTTTCTTTTTGGGTTAGCATATTCTATTTTTAGGCTCTGTCCCATTACCTTATAAATACTGCACAAGTTCTTCATGGGACATTAATACAATACAAAACACCTGTGTTATTTGCTTAGGGTTCATCTTTTTGTTTGCCATAGGAGGACTCACTGGAATAGTCCCAGCAAATTCTGGGCTAGACATTGCTCTCCATGATACTTATTATGTGGTTGCACATTTCCATGATGTACTTTCTATGGAGCCATTTTTGCTTTATTTGCAGGATTTCACTATTATGTGGGTAAAATCTTTGGTCGGACATACCCTGAAACTTTAGGTCAAATCCATTTTTGGATCACTTTTTTCGGGGTTAATCCAACCCTCTTTCCTTATTTATGATTCAATAAGTTATAAACCTTACAATACTTTATTCTATTTCAATTATAATTCAATAAGATTGCATATCTAGAAAACTCAGACTTAGTTTACTGGATCTGGTAGATAATTTAAAATCTTGAGGATGAGCAGATGTTATAAAACTGTTGGCCTATGAACTTGAAGCAGATGTATAATTCTCACATTATTGAGAAATTGAGATGATTTGAAATTTGATGCCTCTCAATTTTTTGTTGATTTTTCTTTTTAATTTTGTGTTAAAACTTTCTGTCCTACATGAATGAGATTCAGACAGTTTGAGCTCAATACCTTAACCTTTGAAACAATATTAAATAATAAAGTGAGATGACTAATAGTACTCACAAGGTCAAGCAAACAAGAAAACCCCACTTATTTTATTCTGAGTTTTTAATGTTTTCCCTCATATGCAAGTGGATTGCCCATGGGTGTGGAGAAGCAGGCCCAATCATGGGTTACAGGGATATATATATTGTATTCTAACAATATCAATGTCTACAGGTTCTAACGTCCATCATTTTGGTATATGTATTCTTGACGAGGCTAAGGTGAACTTTGTGATTTTACTCGTATTATCTATCATTATGCAGGCATATGCACAGAGCACTAATTTATCGGCAAGTTCTTACTATGTTCCAGAAATTAATTCCAAGGCATACCTAAACTATGGTGCTGCCGTGAGTGAGGTAAGTTTTGGTATTTGATTAATGTTGCTTCGTTTTAGTTATTGTTTGGACATCAAAATTTCTTTCTATCAATTAAATTTGGAGCTCACTTATTGAACATGGTCAACGCCACTGATTCTTGTTACACTACTTTAGAAAAAACAACCTTTTCATATCAAATATCCTTCAGAAAGAACTAAATGTGAAGCTACGACATCATGAACAGGTAGAACTAGACCTTTTGACAGGAGCAGTCACGATTTTGCAAGCAGATATCATTTATGATTGTGGCAAAAGCCTTAATCCAGCTGTGGATCTAGGACAGGTAAGAATGATAAATTTGGCGTATCTTCCGGCTTAACTCAAAATTTTGATGTTGTTGTCGTTTGTTTCTCGCCAGCTTTGCAGTTCAAGCATGCTAAGATAATGCATGCTGAGGACAGGGTTCTACCGCTAACATTTTCATCTCAAATATCAAATTAAATTATCCTAGATTGTTTTATGTTAAAAGTTTCCTTGTGCAGGTTGAAGGTGCTTTTGTCCAAGGAATCGGATTTTTTATGCTTGAAGAATATATCACAAACTCAGATGGACTAGTCGTTCCTGAAGGCACATGGAAGTATAAAATTCCTACCGTGGATACCATACCTAGGCAGTTCAATGTTGAATTACTGAATAGTGGAAATCACCAGAAATGTGTCCTCTCTTCAAAAGGTATTTTGCATTGACATACATGAGAGTTTATGTTAATTTAATCAATACGGTTCTTATTGCTTTTGATGAAAGTTTTTGTCGTGTGATTTATTGATACAAAACCGGGGGATCTTTACCTTTAATGAACATAATTCTATAATGAAATATATTTATATAATTGTAATGTTTATGCATTATTAAATTATCTAGGTTATTTAGGAACTAGTATCCGATTAGAATTGATTTATTATTTTCTATTTAGTTATTTTCTACTATAAGTTATTCTATTTAATTAGTTTATTTTCCTACTTCGTATAATTCTTAGATAGATTTTAAGAATTTCTATTTCGATTCTATTTTAGTTTATAAACAAAGTACTCCACCTTAGTTATTAAATAACCATTTATGATTACTATCTAAATATTGGGATATTGCTTTGCTTATTGAAATCCGAGATCTCTAAGTTTGATTCTTAATAAAACTTCTCTAAGTTTTATCTTAAACTCTTATTGTCTTACGTGAGTTGATATCAAAACCAGGTTAGGAATATCACATCTCGATAATCAAAACAATATGTAAATATTTGAACAATAATCGGTGTGCATGAGAAGATGTAAACTTCTAACATAGCAATATCGATTAAAGAGAAAGCAAAATTGTGAATGGTGGAAAAACTCACAAACACCAAGGTTGATCGTTGAATACTATGTTTTTATTTTTCAGCTTCCGGTGAGCCTCCATTGCTTCTAGCAGCTTCGGTTCACTGTGCAACGAGAGTAGCTATTAAAGAAGCTCGAAAACAGCTTCGTTCATGGAGCAGCAGCTTCGAGGGACTTGATTCAACATTTGATTTACCCGTCCCTGCCACCATGCCAGTTGTAAAGCAGCTATGTGGGCTAGAAAATGTGGAAACCTACTTGAAGTGGAAAATTGGTAGAAGCTGAAGAAATCCAATTCTCTGGAATCTGAATTTGTTATCTGCTTATCATACGGCTCCTTTGGTTAGGCTGTGTTTGGAATAATAAATTTTACTTGTGAAAAATCACTTAAAATATTGCACTTATTTTAGTTATTAGACACCTGAAAAAAATCTACAAATTGAGTTTTTGGGTAATTCCAAACATGGTCTTATCCTCAAACCCTTTTTGATAAAAATAGGGTAGATTTTAGAAGACTGGTTTTTGTATTTTCTGGTTAATCTTTTGTTGATGTACGCAAGAGAATCCTGACCAAAAGAATTTAGACACGAAATATATACCGGACTTATTCTAAAAGATGAAAAATAAAATTATACATATTTTAAATGTCAATTTCAACGATTTGAAGATAGAAATATCGTATAAATGAAAAAAAGTTTTAATTTAAATGATTTTTAATTTTAATTTTAAAATTTTAAAAATTAAATTAAATATTTTGTATTATTAGAAGAAAATTAAATATTTTTATAAATTTTTTTAATAAAATTTAAGGCATGAGTGGAACTTTTATTTATAAATTCCTAAATTGAAAATTTTCAAAAACAAAATATTAGATTAAAATTTACTCTATTTTTTAATTTATAATATTAATAAATATTTATATGTATCAAATTGATAATCAACTACGTAAATATGAGTACAAAAAATAATAATGTATATAATATGATTTTAATAATTTTTAAATAAAATTTATACATAATTAACCATTTCTAATTGTTGACTTAGATTTTTTAGTCAATGATGACTGCTGTTCTTACGTCATCTGTTTACTTACTTTCTTCAATTATTTTTCCATCTATTTGTCTATACATAAATTATTGAGAAATATTTTTTTTTTTGTATTTTAGTCTTAATTTTTTGAAGTACAGATTGGATTACGATTTTTATAATTTTTTAATAAATTTTTTAATTTTGATGCGAATAAAATACCTTTGATTATTGAGAAATATATTTTTTTTTTGTATTTTAGTCTTAATTTTTTGAAGTACAGATTGGATTACGATTTTTATAATTTTTTAATAAATTTTTTAATTTTAATGCGAATAAAATAACTTTGACTAAATTATCTTTTAAAAAAGTAGCCTAAGTCTTAAAATAATTAAATTTTAGAATTTGATTTTTATACTTAAATTTAGTCAAAAAAGTCTAAAAAAATATATAATATTAAAATAACAGAAATCAATTCAGTAAAATGATGAGAAATAAACTTTATTGTTGAAAGAAAACAATCTGCATCATCAGTTAAGATCCCTAAATGACTGCTTAGTAATAAAGGATGTGATGATGCATAAACAGTTAAGAGGTTTGTGTATAAACAACCACTATTAAAAAAATGTGTAGAAGATGAATGAGGCTAAGAGATTTTAAAATAATCTTTGAAAAGTACCTAAAAAAAATATATGACCTCAAAATAACAAGAGTCAAGATCGGTCAGTGAGACAATGAAGGATAAGCTTCATCGTTGAGAGGAAAATAACACGGATCACTAATTAATACCCTTAATGATTGCCCAGTAATAAAAGAGGTAGGAGCGTAAAAACAGTTAGAAAATTTGTTTAGAAATAATCACTCTTAAAAGAATATGTAATAATTCACAGATCGAGTGTTCTTGCGTAGAAGATAAACAAAGCTAAGTAATATGTCAAAGTTGTGGGGGTGTAAAAATGCATTGGCAGAGGAGTGTTTTGTCTTAGGCAAAAGCAACTTGAATAACGCAAATATTGATGAGAATCCAATGCCCCCAAAAATCCAAGGATTTTTTATATATTCATCAACAGAAGATGAATTAGGGTCCAAAATCAAACTGAAAGGCGTAATCGATAGATAATAAATAAATATTCATATACTATTCTTATTGGTCCCGAGAGATAGAGAAGACTAAATTAGTCAAAAAAATAGCTATCGATTCAAGAATGTAAGGTGCTCCTTTTTCAAAATAATGAGTAGAGAAAATGTACACATAAAATATATATAATCGGGTGATTAAAATTATTTTTAAATATAATCGGTATTTTTTTAAAAAAATATATTAAAAATTCATTTAAAAAAAAAGAATTTAGAAAATTGAGAGAAAAAAAAATAATGGAACAAATTATCTTCCCAAATTTCAGTGAAAATTCTTTAATTTCTTTTTTTTTTTATTTTTTTTAATAATTCAGAGATACTACAAAAAAATTCACCCAAGAAACAATATAAATATGTAAAGATGGTTTTAATAGTAAATCACACAACTTTATTTTATTTTATTTTTGTAAATTCATTCCATTTTAGTTAAGAGTAAATAATTAAATAACTTATTTATAAATAAACAGTTGAATAATTTACTTACAAATCATAATTTAGGATACTTATAAATAAATAAAAATAAATTATCTAATAATTTATTCTCTTAACTATACATTACCAAACATGTAATTAATAATATTTATTTTTTAATTTAGACTCGATTAAAAATTCAGTTTATTTTAATTTAATATTTAAATCGAACTAGAATGAATTAAAAAAATATAATTTCTGTTAATTTTTAATGTAACAACTTGAATTTTAATTACGAAAATATTGTGCAAACATCCGTATTCATCGATATTAGAGTTTATATAACAAGAGATGGTTTTATTTTGTATTAAATTTTTAAGTTACGCGTATGTATGAATTACGGGTCTTATTAATTGGAAAGTGATATGAGTGCGTTTGTGCTTCGTTATTGAGATTCGGGATATTATATTTAGTAAGCGTTTTAATTTTTTAATTGAAATAATATTTTTTTTAAAAAATAATAATAATTTCATCAATTTGGATGTTTTCTACACTAAAAAGAATCCTTCTCTTATTCTGTTCTTAGTCCTATTCGATTCTTACCTGTTAGATTCCAGATGGAAGAAGACAAACTTGTGCCGGTGACAGACAGACAGTAACTCTAGTGATTCCCCTCGCTCTATAAAAACTACTTCAATTTTCCATTTGATCCAATCAACGAGAGCGGACAGGATTCGTCGTCACGTACGTTGACGCTGGCAACATTCACCATTTATCAGCTCTGCTTTTTACTGGAAAAATACCAGCACATTCTGGATTCAATTCCCGACGCACAAAAAAAATGGGAAGCGAATCTGAAGCGGCAACCGGCAAAGATAACAATCTCTTGTTTTCCATTAATGGTGAGAGGTTTGAGCTCTCCAGTGTTGATCCTTCCACAACTTTGCTCGAGTTCCTGCGTTCGCGCACTCGCTTTAAGGGCACCAAGCTCGGCTGTGGCGAAGGTATTGTGTTTCGCTCTCTCTGTCTCCATCTATTTTTTTTCTCAAGGTGTTCATATTCTCGCTCTGTTAATCGCTTTGTTTCTCTGTCTATGAATCCGATATGTTGTGTGTGTGTTAGAATTTCAGTAGAGTTTGAAATTGGTTTTTTGACTTTCTTTTCTAAATCGCTATAAGCTCTGAAGATTTCTCCAGATGTTTATTTTCTCACTCTGTTAATCACTTTGCTTCTCTGTTTCTGAATCCCGTATATGTTGTGTGTGTAAGAATTTCAGTAGAGTTTGAAATTGTTTTTTGACTTTTTCTTCTTTAAATTGCTATAAGCTATGGAGATTTCTCCAGATTTTCATTTTCTCACTCTGTTAATCACTTCGATTCTCCGTTTCTCGATCTATACTGAACCTAATATATGGTGTGTGTAAGAAATTAGAATTTCGGTAGAATTCGAAATTGTTCCTTCAGAATTTTTCCTTTAGTTTGTTATAAGCTATGGGGAGGTAGATTCTCTCCAGGTCGTTCATTTGGTCACTCTGTTGATCACGTCGGTTTTCTGTTTCTGAATCCATTGTATATTGCGTATTTAAAAATAACAGAAGCGTTCGAAATTGTTTTCTGACATTTTCTTCTTCAAAACGGCATATGCTATAGAGATTTCTCCAGATGTTCGTTTTATCACTCTGTTAATCACTTCGATTCTCTGTTTCTCGATCTATACAAAATCCAGATATGTTGTGTGTGTAAGAAATTAGAAGTTCAGTAGAACTTGAAATTGTTTTTTCAGATTTTTTTTCTTTAGTTTGCTATAAGCTACAGGGAGGAGTCTCTCCAGGTGTTCATATTCTCACTCTGTTAGTCACTTCGTTTCTCTGTTTCTCGATATATACAGAATTCGATGTGTACTTTCTGTGTGAGCATTTCAGTAGAGTTAGAAGTGTTTTCTGAGATTCTCTGGTTTAAATTTTCTCTAAGCTACGGAGACAAGATTTTCTCCAGATGCTCGTATTCTCACTTTTGTTAAATCACTTCCTCTATGTTTCTCCATCTACAAAGATTTCGATTTGCATATATTATATGAGATAGGATATCAGAATTTCACCTGCTTATGTTCTTCTTCTGTAATCACTTGGCTGCTGTCTCTGTTTCTCTGTCTGCAAGATATTCTATATATATGTATATATAATCTATATATAGAATTTTAGTTGAAACCGAAATTTCTTTCTGTGATTTTCCGGAGGGTTTTTTTATTTTAAAGATATTCTTATTTAGATAGCACTATCACAGAGAGGAACAGAATGATCTGATTGATGTGGGAGTTATAAAGCTGCTAATGACATAGTTTTTCGGTAAAATTACTTTTACTAGTATCTTTAACTGTGTTTTGTATTGTAAAATTAATTGTAGAGAATATTGGCAATTAAAAATTATTATGTTCAATAGAAATAATTATAAATATTAAAATAATAAAAAATTATCATAATTACTTATTTTTTTAATAAATAAATATAGTTGAATTATTTTTTTATTAAAAATATATATTATAACATAAAATATGTTGTATTGATATTAAAATATTATTTTATTTTTATTTAAAAATTAAATTAGCAAATATTAATATTTAGTATTTTAATAAATTAAAATTAATTTAGTTAAAAAAATTAAAATTGTTAAATATTAAGAATATTTGATTTTTAAAAATCAATATGTTCTTATATAATTTATGTAAATATATATATATATATATATCGGAAACAGATTTTATGTTTAAAATAGAGTTTTAACTTTAATATTCGCTATTGCTCCATTGTACGAATTGAGGGGTAGCTGCATATGGTACTGCTCCATGCCTAACATGTAGGTGGACCATGTGCAGCTAGTTACATGCCTGCCTTTAATTTTTTAAAAGTCATATATAATGTAATAAAATATTTTATACTCATATAAATTATGAACAGATAATCATAGTATATTTGTAGTGGAATTTGTCGTATTACATAAATTTACTATTATATATAAATATTTGGTGGAATGAATTTTTTATTGATTAAATTTTTTTATACTGTTTGAAACAATAAAATATATTAAATATATATTTAAATTAATCTTAAAGTTAAAAAGACATATAATACTCAAAACAATTCATAATAATATAAAGTGATATGATTCACGTTGAACTTAACCCATATATTGGACTGGATACACTCGAGTGTGTCCAGCAAATTCTTTAGTACAACAAAAATATAATTATGCTAATTTGGTTTAAGTTAATTTCTATATGACATTATTTCTTTTTAATTTTGAGATCAATTTAAATATATTTTCAATGTATTTCATTTATTTTTAAACAATATAATAAATTTTAATCAATAAAAAATCCACTTAATCTAATTTTTACGAAGAATAATAAATTATACACTATATAAAATTTTAATAGAATATATAATAATTATTTACTAATAAATTCTATATTTCTAGAAATTTTACCAAATTGTAAGACCAAAATTTAGTAGTACTAGAACTGTAGAAGTTTGTTAAGGGCAGCCAAAAGAAAAACCGTTGTATATTTCCTGCATTAGAACAGTCGATTATATTTCTTCCATTAGCACATAGTTTGATATATTTCTAGTAGCGTACAGTAGCCAATTACTTGAAAAGGTCTAAGTTAATAAAAAATGACTCCATTTATTTTAATTTATAAATTCTATGTGATTTAAAATTAAATGAGTTTGATAAATTATCTTTAGATAACTTACTTTGACAAATTTATGTCACCTAGGTGACAAATGTCATAAGCACCTATGGGCACGCCATGCTATTGATGCTATTGTATAAAAAGTCAAGTTGACAAGATAAATTGCCTATGCTATTAGTACTATCGTATAAAAGTCAAGTTGACGATATATGTTGCCTTTTGTTTTCAAAGAATTAGCTTAGTGTTTAGCAATCTATCCCAGATCAACGATGTTTCTCTTTATTAATATTTATTCATTCTTGAATTATATTTATGTATCATCTAAAATATTAATATATGAAAAATAGATTGTTATCTTATTCTATCAACTTAAATTTTTAATATAGTTGGTTCAATCAATCATTTGAGATGATATAAAATTAAAAGTTCTGTTTTCAAATTTTTGTAATTTTATTTCCCTTTTATTATTTATTTCTTCATTTTTTCACTTGCCTCAATTTATATTTGACTTTAAATTTTTTTCCCTTTTTGGACACCTTCTTTAGGTTTGAGTTACGAGCTAAACTTAAAAATTCTGCTTGCACGAGTTTAAGTCAAGAACTAAGCTTAAAAATTCTACTTGCCATGGTACTTTATTATTATTATTATTATTATTTTGAAAGCAATGGAATATATTACCTGGTGATGAATTTATAAATAATAAGTAAAAAGCTTATTTATGGTATAAAAAGATTTCTTTTAAACATTAAATCAATGAATAATATTTATTACAAATTTTTTTGAGTAAAACTATTAGATTAAGGTCTTCATCGCATTCCATGTGAGTTGACTTGTAGGGCTTATATGACTGCCATAACCTTGCTGATGATTCTATAACATCTGACTATTTTAGTTTTAATCAACTCACTAGATATGGATTTCTTGGACTGTTGAAAAGAGTCATGATGCTATAACGTAAGGCGCACAGTTAATGTCTTAGTCC